GCTGGCCGGAGAATTCTGGGAGTTGAAGTCCACAAGTCTTAAAGTTGCCAAGTTTGGGGACCCCTGGCGATCGTTCAAAATATTCGGAGAGATCGCTCGCCTGGTTCCTTCAACGGCAAAAAAACAACAACAAAAAACGTGATAATTTTTCTTCCTCCCCTCTCCCAGATAGGCTTCACTGTAGGAGCATTTAATCTTTCACTGGGGGACCCCATGGTATGTCTAGACTAGACATAAACTGTGCAAGACGTATTTATTTTGCGGTATTTAATTACAGACGGAAACACAGGGTGCATTGCCTAATAAAAAATGTTTTTTAAAAGACGGCGCGGTGCAGTCAAGATAATTGGGTTCCAATTTGATGCGTATCTATTGAGAATGAATCCAGTTGATAAGCATCTATCTGTCTCTGCTGTAGCATAATTCTGTGCCTATATAGTATAATTTTCTGTAGATTACAAAATCTGCCTTAATGGGCTTTACTCTAAAGGTCAATGCTACTAGGATAAGCTCTATTGAATCCAGTGAGACTTCTCAGTTAAATGTGACTTGGACACATTGTCTCTTAATACAGTCTTTGGCAATTCGGGCCATAAGCAAGCAATGAATAAAATGGGAATTAGGGTGGAAATAATTGGTTTGCACATTTTTTGGAGATGATGCAAGCAGATGGATCTTTCATTTTTTTGCTCATAGGGATGGACAAAGAGATTTTTTTTTTTTTAGCATAGATTAATAGGTACAGGGTCATGATTCTTCCCACCCTGGCCTGTTCAAATACACATATGTGGTAATCTAATCCGTTCATTCAGTTTTGTAAAGTTGAATTTTTGGATATATGTACAGTATATAAGTTCCAATGAGTAAGATCTGTGTATGCAGGATCAGCCTTTTCTGATATTTTTCGGTGCTATGAAAGATAAGAGTGAGTCCAAGAATCTTCAGGAATGTGAAGAAAGAAAGAAGAAAGGAATGTGAAGAAAGAGGGTGTGCATAAGCGCACTAATCGTGCCTACCGTCCCTGTCCTATTGTTTCTTTTTATTTTTCTTATAAGTATCTATCTCATGTATTCAAAACTATGTTTATTCTTATATCTGTATCTTGTAAGCAATTGACAAATAAATACTAAAAAAAATATGTGTCACATCATTGGAAAGTTCTACGGCTACTTTAGCTGGCTGCAAAAAGTCTACATAATCAACAAATGGCGACAGGCAGCTATAATAAATCTATCTCTTCGCTGCCAGCTAGTGCTTATATAACTGTAGTAGCTCATATGTGGCAGCTCTGTCTTTCAGATTGCAAAAAAAAAACAAAGATTCTAAGAAATAAGTCAGATGTTATTTTAAGCAAGTCGTTTAAGGTTTTGTATTTGCTTAAAACAGCCAACAGCTGTGGTTGGGAGGGGCTGATTTTCAGTGGAATGGTGGTGCCTAGGAAAGGAATATACTACAGCACTTATCAAAATGATTCATCCTGCTTTTAGCCCTGAAATTAATCTCCCTGTTAGCAATTATTTTGACAAGAGTATGATCCAATTTCTCTGAGTTTCTAGCAGGTCAGTCTTCATTTTGCAAATCAAACTAGCCATGTAACTGCATTGATTTGGCCTTGGTCTTTTAACAGGGCCAAACTGTTTGAGAATAATTTTCTTTAATGCTATAAGTTTGAAACTAAAGGCAACTGAGACCACTTAAACTAGCTTTAAAAATGTTGTCAAACCCTGCTTATTTTACGATCCTCCAAATTAGTAAGATGTACTTTAAGAAGAAGAGACAGCTAATAAAGTTTTTAAAGCTAAATTGGAGCAGGGATGAGAGATCTGAGTAGCTGCAATACTATTCATACTATAGATTTTAAGAATCTCAGTATATTCTCACATTACAGAAAAAGGGATATCCTGTCAGCATGCCATCTCAAGATTTGGATTCACAGAGGATGTAAAAACATCTATGGGTGTGAATGGGTGGAACATATTTTCTTTTAAAGTGATGTCTGTGGAAGCATTGCTTACAGCAGTTGCTTGCATGCTGGCTGGGGAATTTTTGGAGTTGAAACCCACATGTCTTATAGTTGCCAGGTTGCCAAGATTGAGAAATTCTGACTTACAGAAATGGGAGGTTTTCTTAAGGCCGTTCTAGCAAATGGTCTAAGAAAGTCACAGATGGGAAGGAACGCTTATCTTGTCAGCAAAAATTTATTCAAGGCTCAAAGGCAGGCGACAACTCAGAATTAGAGGAAATTGAGAGGGTGAGGTAGCCTTTATGCATTTACTTTTCAGACATTGTTGAAGTATACTTCTTTTTTGGGAAAACAATTATAGTTTTGTATTTGCATGAATCTAATGCTAATTCTATGTCGTATTCAGTTTGACTTGGGATGCCTACATATTCTGCTCATTGGACATCTTATTCTCACGATACGCACCAAGGGAGGAAAGGTAAAATTCATTCAGCTTTGGATTCTTTGGAAAGGAACCTTTCTACCCTCACTAAAGCTGCTTATTCTGATTTTCCTGCAGTAGGCTTTAATAAAAATTGTATTTGGGGAGATTAATTTAAAACGGGAATGCCCTGAACCATGTGGGATTCTAGAGTTGGCGATCTAACGTTGTTTTTATCTCTTTTCACTTTTCAGGTTTGAGACTGACAAAGGAAATGTCTTGGGAAATTCTTCTCTCTGCTGTGAATCACATTATACAATATTTTATTCTCTACAATGACCGCTAACCTTTCGTAGGCCCAAGTCAGAGTGTGAAGTTTAATTTTCAAAATCCTGAATAACTGGGATTCAGGTTTCCTGAAGAAACATCTATTCCGGGAGTGTCAGACTCACGGCCTGTGGGCCAGATGTGCCACACGCTGGCCACTCCCACCGCTACTTTAGTGAAGGGGAAAAAAGTCACGATACATCATGTGATGACGACATGACGACTTGAGTTGGACACCCCTGATCTATTCCCTTATTTATCTACATCACGGATGTCAAACTGGCCATGTCACATTGTTGTCACATGGTGTTTTGTGATGTTTTTCCCATTTGCAGAGGTGGGGTGGTTGTGGCCTACGCGTGATGCATCCGGCCACAGGCCGCCAGTTTGACACCTCTGATCTACATGAATCCTAAGATTTTCCTCTTGAGTTTTTTCCTCTTCAAATGAAAGAAGATGAATAACCAAATAGAGGGAGTTTTTCAGTGATGTCAATTCGTAACTGATTTCCCTCCCCCCCTCCATTAGCATCCACATTATGGACCTGAAAAGTAGAAATAGGCATTTAAAATATATGTCAATGTTTCTAAACATTTCCTGATTTTGTGATTGTATTGCAATGTATTGCAATTATTGCTGATGAATTTATATAAAACTACAGAAAATACAAGGCACATCCAAAATATGTTATTTTTCACATCTTCAGTTTGATTTTCACCTGGACAAAAGAATTGCAATTACTGTGCAGTCTAGAAATATAGCTTTATTTTGATCCAAGTATATGAATACAGGATGTTTTGGT